GTACCTTTTGAATTTTATCTTATTGTGTGTTGCGTGTTGTGTTGTGCTGTTGTGCTCTATCGTTATGATGTCTTGTCTTGTCTTGTGTTCGTTGTATCGTGTTCGTTACATTATTGTTTTGCTGCTTTTGCATAGCTCTTTTCATTGTCTGTCTTCAAAAGAGTATTTAGACAAATTTTTTTTATAATACTATTCATGTTTGGGCAATTAAAATTCATAGCCGCATTATTTATAACACGCACACACACACACACACACACACACACACACACGCACACACACACACCCACGCACACATAAATATATATATATATACATATAAGATATAACATATATAACATTTCATTAGTAGATAGGCTTTAGTTTTTTTAACAGCGCCGGTTGTTTAACTGGCTGGTAGTATAATAAATGCATGGTCATGGAGTAAAGGAATAGAAATTGTTAGAAAAAATAAGTTATCAGTGAGTTTAGAAATATTTACTTTCAAACATTTGAATCGTAGACATGTACTAACTTGTTATCAGCTATAACAGTGACAAGTTACCAACTGTTTTTATTATCATTGTTACTTTTGTTTTTATTATTATTATTTAATAATAATAATAATTATAATTGTTGTTATTATTATTGTCATCGTAAGTATTATCTGTTGTGATGTTTGTACTGTTTTGTATGAAGGCCACATCACTTAGTATGATGTATATGGCGACGTCAGTTATCTTAGTAATATATTGATTTTACTACTTAACAGAACCAGAATTTAATTTTTGAATTAGACTGCATGTTTGTATCTTCATTTCATTCTGTTTCATTTCATTCCATTTTAACCCACTTCATTCCATTCCATTTCAATCCATTTCAACCCATTTCAATCCATTTCATTCCATTCCATTTCAATCCAGGTAAGGTTTTTCATGAAGGCACATTCCTTCGTGCGTGAAAACGCGCCCAAAGTTCTCCGCCACAAATCCACAGGTTCGTTTGTCTGACCTCGAAATTTATTTTTATTTTTAATTCATCTTTCAAGTGAGAGGCAGTGACTCGTCGATCAAAAGTTTAAACTTATAAACTCGTCACATCAATCAGAAATGTCAGAGATTTTCATGTTACATCATTTCAATGCGAAAATCCTCTCTCTTTGCTCTGCTATTATGTGTGTGTGTAGTGTTGTGTATATTTAGGTGTATGTGTGTGTGTGTGTGTTTGTGTTTGCGTGTGCGATTGTAAAAATTAAAACATTCTAAATGCGAATTACAAATGCTAATCTGGGACACCATTGTAGTTGAAAATACAATAATGACTACTCTGGAACTAGCTAGTTATACTTCTTCGCTATTGTAATTGACATTTTAATGAAGAACAGCCATTTTGATGTATGTATGTATGCATGTATGTATATATGTATGTGTGTGTGTGTGTGTGTGTGTGTGTGTGTATGTATGTATGTATGTTTGTATGTATGTTTGTATGTATGTATGTATGTATGTATGTATTTATGTATGTATGTATGTATGTATGTATGTATGTATGTATGTATGTATGTATGTATGTATGCATGCATGCATGTATGTATGTATGTATGTATGTATGTATGTATATTTCGTGATATTTTCTATATCGGGATCATTACCCTCATGTAACTAAATTGAACTGATCAATTAATTAAGTGATTAATTAATTTTAGAATCCAGTGGAGCATTATGCCCTGATTTCACCAAGTATCTCTACTTTCTCTTCGCCCCGACTTTACTCTATAGAGATGAGTACCCCAGGTTTGTTGTCTGTTTAAATGGTAGGTATAATGATAATTTTTTGTTGGATCTAGATATTTTTTAAAATTTTAGTTATGTAGTTTTAAATATTTTTTAAAATTGTAGGTATGTTAAAGCCGTTTTGATAAATTGGTATGGTTGGTATAATGATAATTGTTTGTTGGATCTAGATATTTTTTAAAATTGTAGGTATGTTAAAACTGTTTTGATACTGCATGTACATGCGTTCGCTTGTTAACGATTTATTTTCCATGTTGTTTGCTTCTGTTTCAGCATTTTTTTTGGAACAACAAAGATTTTTTAGATACCGTTAAAAGTTTTGGGGGTTAAGACAGTTTTTTTATTTTTAAAAGTTCGACTTCAACGAGCCAAACATTTTTCTACAATCCACATGTGATCGCACGTTCTTTTACCGGCGAACCTAAAGCCGGTTCATGTTATGAGTTTTATTGTGTTTTATTGATGACTGTTTAGATTTAAACACGGGTCCGAACAATTTGTAAAGGCGTGGTTATACTTGCCAATCAATCCAACTCTAATACCTTACCGTTCGTCTATGAATTAGTGAATTGTTTGTTTGTTAATCAAATGAATGAAATTTTCTGTAAGGTTTGACAACTCTGGATTACAATTATTTATTAGACCGGTTTTATTTAAGAAGCAAGCCATCCACCAAAGCAATTTTTAGAACAGCCACTAATATAATAATAATAATAACATAATAATAATTATAACATATTAATAAAATAATAACAATAATATTAACGTATCCACGTAAATATTTTACAATATTCACAAACACAGGTCCCCAGGTCCCATAAGATGGGATTACGTTGTGAGCAACTTCGGCCAAGTTTTCGCCTGCCTCTTCTACATCCACTACATCTTCGAAAGATTCTGCATTCCAGTTTTCAAGAATTTTGATCACCACTTTGTGACACCTCGTCATTTTGTCGTCTCCGTGTTTAGTTGCATGCTGCCTGCCACTCTGCTTCTATTCATCGGTTGTTTGTCGTTGTTGGCTGGTGTTAGTTGTTGTTTGTTGCTAGTTTGGATGGTTGGTTGCGTTGTTTGGTCTTTGCTTTGTTGTGATTTTTATTAATCTTAATTTTTTTCACATCTACCTTTCGTATAATTGTTTGTTTAATTATAAATATTATAATAATCTTAATATTATTTCCAAGGATTCTTTGCTATCTTGCACTCTTGGCTCAACGCTTTTGCTGAAATGCTGCGGTTCGCCGATCGCCTTTTCTATAAGGTTGCATTTTGCAAATATTCCCAAATTAGTAACTTTTTCAACATTTTGGTTCATTGTTTTGCTTTTTTCAGTTAAGATTATTTTTATTCTAGAGTTTTGTTCTATTATAAAATTTTTATTCACGGAAGAGAGGAATAATGTCTGATTAGATTCAGCAAAAAAAAATGGAAAAAACTAACTAGCCTATATAAACTAACTAACCGCAATCCTAATTAATATTGATTAATCAGGATTGGTGGAACTCACCCTCCTTCTCCAACTGGTACCGGACGTGGAATGTGGTTGTGCACGACTGGCTCTACACCTACATCTACCAGGACTTCTCTCTCGTTCGCACTTTCATTCCAATTTCTTATTCTCATTTTAATTGCTACTGGCAATGTTGACCAGCAGAAATTGAATCGTCGTTCTCATAATTTAATTCAAAGAGTATTTTTCAAGGTTATACTATTCCACAAAATGATTCCAAATTCATTTACAGATCGTCAGGAAATGCAGCCGAACTTTCCACATGGCCATCGTGTTTCTGCTCTCCGCCATAGTACACGAGTACATCTTCAGTGTGGCCTTTGGGTTCTTTTACCCCGTGCTGTTCTTCATGTTTGCTGGCTTGGGGTGTTAGTAATTTTTCTGTTTCTACGAGATGTATTGTTGGATATTACCTTTACAATTCTGTGTCCAGTTAGGTTAGTTAGTTTTTTCCATTTTTTTTGCGCCAGTTGGTTTTACCTTCCTTCCGCTCAAATCTCAAATGTGTGGCAATGTCTTCCTCTGGGTGGCTCTGTTTTTTGGCAACGGAATTATTATGTGCCTCTACAGTATGGAGTGGTATGCTAGGAGGAGGTGTCCCGTCTATACGGTCAGTTGTTTTGTTGGTCTACGCTGCTTTATTATGTTGAGTTGGTGTTGTTTTTGAGTTGCTGTGGAGTTGTGTTTGAATATTTAGTTGCCTTCTACTTGCTTTCTCTTAGATGGCTCGGTCTTTTTAAGTTACCTACTTGATGTGTTTTTTTGTATATGGTAAAAGATTTAATTACAAGCCAGTTCACCGTTATGCTGAAAGTCGGGTTATGTTGTGGAATGATTTTAAGAATTGGATATTTTTGTTTTGAATCTATATAAATTTAACACCGCTGCTAACAAACACGATGAAGAATTCATATGCCGACTACTTCATTCCTCGCTCATGGACCTGCGACTTCAGTGCAATTCGACCGTACGCGGGCGACCTGCACGCTGGCTCCACGGATGAAGCTGGCCAGGCCTACGTGCCGAATAAGGAGTTATAATAGCAATCGACGATACTCATTTCTCTGTTTTGTCTTGTCTTTTTCCATAATTTCATATTTAATATCTTTTAAATTCGATAAAGGTGGTTATTCAGTGAAGCTGTATTCAAAATTTCTAATATGGTATTGATATGTGTATGCGTGTTGGACTACGTCTAGCTTGAGCATGTTGTTGTAATTATTTTTGCCATCTTATTAATGTTTTTTTAATGTTTAAATGATAATTCAGATTCAATTAAGAAGTTTTCCTCTAAGCCATAAATTTTCTCGAAATGTTTGAACCATGTATATTGTCTAAAGATATTTCCTTATACTGATATTTTATCTTTAAATATTATTTTCAATGTACAACTTTTGGACACTTAATGACAAATATTAAAAAATTATTTCTTTATTTGTTTGTTTATTCGTTTGTTTTTTTTTTATTTATATATTTATTCATAAAATATATAAATGTCCGATACGTCATTTCATCATCTAACGTCCAACATATCTCTAGGCAAGTGAAATTCATCTAATTTTTTTTTAATTATTAAATCGTGTGAAGTTGTTCAGTGAAAAAAATGTCAGTTCGTGAATGATGTAGCTATTAAAACTTTATTTTTTTTTTTGTAGTTTTGTTTGTTTGAATCATGTCGAGATTTTCTCAGTATGTGCGTGTGTGTGTTTGTGTGTGTGTGTGTTTCATTAATTAGATTTTAATTTGTTAAATCATGAGTCAACCAATTTTAATAACTCCACATGCCTTTTTCATTTTCCAGTAGAGTTTTACCTGCCGTTCGTTCAAATTATTTTTCTGATTTTTTTAAACATAAACGTTCATATGTCATTAGAGTATAGAAATTGAAATATCATTTTAAGATACGTTAAGAAAATGTTGACATTATTAACATCAATAATCATTCTCTGTGTTGTTTTTTCTCCATTTCTTCGCCTCGTTGAATAAACACACTTGCCGGCTGAACCATTTTTGTTCATGGATGTATTATACATTTGGATATTGTTTATGAGAATTTTCCGTGTTTATTCATGAAATACTGTCCGAAATTGAAGAGCTTTCTGAAATTTAACTCCTAACAAACACATTGATGGATTTATCCATATTATCCATTAAATTTATCCATTACATCATTCCTCGTTCTGGAACCTGAGACTTCAGTACAATGCGACCATACCCTGACGACCATCATGCAAGTTGGTAAGGCCTACACGTGCTAAATTCAGAATAAATTCAACGATACTCATTATCCTTTTGTTTTGCAGTTTTCAATGATATTTTTTCATATAACTAGCCGACCTGGTGTTCTTTGCAAAGCCTAAGATTGAAAAAAAAACAATAAATTAATCTACATGACATTTTATCCTCAACTGTAACCTGCTTAGTATCAAATTACTACTAATCGCTATCCAAACAGAGATATTCAGCTGTCTTAACGTATATGGATATTTTAAAAATGATTTTTTTTTCTAGGGATTCAGTAGAGCTTTAGGCACTCAAAATGTTTAATGTGTTTCATTGTGGGTCAGATAACTTCTATACCTGCCGCATGTTTAATGCGTGATCAGTTGCTGTGAATATTTTGACGTATTATTAACGTTGACAGCGTTAAAATAATGTTTCAGTCTCATTGAAAACATTAGTAGTGGCCGTCAGTTTACTTGGCATGTTTGAATTAAATAAGATTTTTCATGTATCCCTTATATTTTTTCGTTCTATATTTTTTTTTTGTAGAAAAGTTTATTTAAAAAATATATTGTAAAACTTCATCGTCTAACATCTAAGTTGATAAAAGTAAAATAACACTAACCGGCCATTCATTTATTACGTGTGTAACATCTACAAAGTAGAATTTTACTATAGCTCAATTCCTGTACAGAAATTTTATAACCTACAATCTACTTACATATATATATAGCCTTACGCTATATATAATATAATATTGATATTGCTTATAATGTTTTTTTTTCAATTTATTCGTTATGAAATGTGGTATATTTGATGTTTGAGGACAAACTTGATCGCTGTTCTATGTCCTTTAGAATAAACTTCGAAAATTATCTTGTTATCGGGTCCTATTTTTACAGATGAGAGTATAGATGCATTTCTATGTAGCAAATATTTTTTCTGAAATCATCAAGCTCGTACGGAGGTCAGACTGTCTTAACAAAGAGCGTTAAGCAGCTTCAGTTTGTCAGTGCTGGCCTAAACAGATAAATTGCAAAACTTTTTTTTATTCGTTGGTTGTGATCTCTATCTTGGTTTTGTGTTCATATATATATATGGGAAGATTTTATAAAAAGTTGAATGTATAACAACTCTGATTTTTAAAACTTGAAAAATGGATTTTTCTCTGGATGATGTCCGAGCAAGAGCGTGGGAATTTGCCGACCAATACTTGGAGCAATTTTGGGAATCGAAAAATAAAGCTAAAGCATCTACCCTCCGCCGTGCGCTAAAGAAAAGCAGCATAAAACACGACTTATCTCCAGAAGAAATCAATGAGATTTCAAATTACGTTGTATATTATTTGAAGAGCGATGTTTCAGAAGAAAGTAGCTGGTTGAAAAAGACTCGCTTGTTAACCAAATTGCAACAATATCGGTTGTTTAAAGATATACAGATCGCTAATTTTCTGAAACTTCATAAAACATTTTTCGCAAAAGACATGCCACACATTCAGAGCAACGTAACTGGGGTGCTACGTCATTGGGATACCTTTCACACATCTCTAAACGGCAACAGGTGCTATTTAGTGCCATTTTATGAAGACATTTTGACTGCGTTCGACAATTGTCCAATATGTTTGGAACCATTCCAGGATGGTTCTTTTGTGTTTGAGTTACAGTGTGGTCATGTTTTTCATCCACAGTGTATTGACGAATGGTTCAGAAACGCGAGGTCCTGCCCAGTGTGTAGGTGTCGTCTTTGCAATAAAAGGCTGGTTAACAAGAAACTTCTAATAGAGAAACAAGGTTTCAGTTATCTTTTAACAATAAACTTGTTTACTAAGCCATATTATTAATTTTATTTGGAAAAATAAACTTTAACTTCAATGTTGTAAATGGAACTTGTCTACTGTTAATTTATTCGTGATGGTTGGAATTGGAAAGACGAAATTACTTCAAAAAATTGAAAAATAACTGTATTGAATGTACTGTAATTTAAGTAACTTCATTATTTAAATGTTTAATCAGTCGAGATGCGATCGGGGTTGTTAACGGTTCTCCTAAAAAGCAAACAACGCCATCAACTGGAAAGTTGTGTGGTTACTTAAGTGGAAAAATAGCGACAAAATTACCACTACGATCGTTTCTGAAGTATTATACAAAGTCTTGTGGGAATATTTTTCAATTATTCAATTTCAATTAAAATTCTCTACTTTCCAGTGCGTTTAAAATTTAATAGATTGTCTTAAAAACTTTCTATTTCACGGCAAATGTAACGTTAATGTTTGTGATATTCGAAGTCAAAATTTTTTTGTTACGTACTGATAGATGCAGTTTTTAGCATTTAAACACGTCTTACAACCACATAATAATTTCACGTGTTAAAGTTTGAACCACGTGCGGAAAATAAAACCACGTGCTGAAGTTAAAACCACGTGCTATAGTTAAAACTACGGATGTATTGAAAAAAGTATTGCACTGCAAAGTAAAAAAATAGCAATGTAACTGCCGAAAACAAGATTCTAAAATTGTTTTTACGAATTTAACGAGCTTCATTTTCTCATAATGATTTAAAATCTTCTAAAATTTCAACTTAAATGCCTCATACAAATCAAAATAGAACTTTCGTTTACTAACCATTTTGTCTATTTGTTTATGTTGTGTGTATCTAAAACTGAAATGGTAGCAGCATCGCTCTGCCTAAATATTCAACATTACCAGACCTGGTACGTTGGAACGTCGGCACTGGCAGCCAGCAGACTAAAGACAGTAATGCGTACGTATGGATTAGGTTAACCCCACCCCCCTGTCACATACTGTCACGCTTGATAAACCCCCTTTCCTTCTCCCCCCAGCGATTAATGATTTTTTTTATTTATCAACATTAAGCACAAAATTAGAATTTAATTGTTTTGCTAAGTGACTTTTCTGGAGCTGTTTCGCAGTAACCGGGTTTGAATATGATAAAAAGATCCCCGCCTATCACATGCTTCGTGTGTGATGCGTCGTTTAGCACGTGTTCATATACGATGTTTGTTCACTCTGTTGAATCCTTTAAACTTTAGAAGAGTGTAATTGACTTTTTAACCTTTTTTTAACCTTCCAGTATTTTGTTAGCTTATTTTACTAGCTTATATTTATTGTGAAATGTTTTACAATTTCATCGAGGTAAGTTTGGAATAAACTGTTTCACACCACATTGAAAAACTTTTAATTTTTTGATTTCAAACTGGCGAACGTTTTGAAAATTTGATATTAAATGAAGATTTAAAAAAAATACAAGTTAATAAAAACAGGACAAACTTTGATTCGTATTATGGACTCTCCGTCTTCATGAAGATTGTTTTGCTATTAAGGAAGAATTGGGCCAAAGAATTTGAAAAACTTTGCGCCAAATGGTGTAAGGGTTAGTAATGCTAAAAAGCGGAACATCCTTCACAAACATCCCTCTACGGTTGAAATCAAAATCAGGTGTCTCAATCAATTTTATTATTTTTTTTATGAAAAGCTAATTATTTTGGCCATTCTCTTCCAAATTTGGTTAGTTTATTTGGCTCTCCCCTCAAAGATGTTTAACTTCGTCTCTGGATATAATGCTGGTTACTGTGAGAGAGGCCCTAGATATGAAATTAGTGTTTGTGCCTGTGTGACACTGTTTAGATATTGTAAAAAACGCTCAGAATTCTGCTTTGTCAAATTTCAATGTTGGTTACATTCAGCCAAGAAATGTGTCTACTGGCGACAATAAATCCTTGCTTGACGAAATACCTGGAGCTGATTGGTTTTCCAGATTTGTGAAGACACTTACACCTCTCTGTCAGAGAATCTGAGACGACATCTATTGCTCGGGCAATAAGCTTCAACAGATATGTGTCGGCATTTTTGATAACTTTTCAACAGTTCATGAATGTTATTTGTTTTGACCAGAGACTATCTACAACATCGATGGGACATGAATCAATTATTACGGTATATCGTCCGAGCAGAATTGTCAGAAAGGTGTGAAGCAAGTTGGTGCTATTGTTTCTTTATTATTGCCAACATAAGTATTTATATATATTCATGTTGGCAACTAGATTCATGAACAGGAGCATCCTACAAAAAAGGACACCTTGGTTATGGCTGCAACTCCTCCTACAATATAAACAGTTTTGTTGGAGTCAAAATGTTAACACTTTCATTTTCTTTATGATCATCGTTAATGACCGATATTATCGATTTACATTTCATCATCATTATTATCCTCATCATAATTATCACCATCAACGCCACCACCATAGGCGTCTACATCATTTCAGAACTATCCATTATAATCTCTACCGTTATAGCCATTAACTCGTTATCTCATTATCACCAGTGGTGAATTTGGAGAAAACAGGTTAGCCATAATTTTGTCAGTTTTTGTCATCGTAGTGGGGGCGGAGCTTCACCCTCTATTCTATTTTCCTTCATACTTCAATGTTTTTTGATCTATTTCTCTCAAATTGTTCAGGTGTGGGTTTTTATGCCACGAATTTTAGGATTCTAAAATTTTTTTGACAAATCAGTGCGCATACAACTGACCCAATTTCAAGTTCTACAACCAACGTTGATATTGTTTGTTGAATTTGTCTTAACGTAACCTGATTAACTGGCATTTGTTTTTTTTGGGTTTTTTACTTTTGCACGGTAAAATCATCACCTATAATTGGTTTATTTATTATATGTCAACAATATGAACATAGTTTGCTCAATATTTTAATGAATTGTGTTTTTTAAAGAATTCAATAAATTTTAAGGTATATAATTTTAATGTTTGTGTTTCAAGTTTGGCGGCTTTCAGACTAATTGAATTGACAATTTATTCTTCCTTTTATGCATTTAGGAAATATATGCCGTAAAATCTGCTAGAAGCCAGAAGGGAACATTTCAATCGTTTTAATGTTGGCTCGCTACTGAATTGCCTTTTGTAAATTTTTTAAACTTTGTTAGAGAGTTTGAAATAAAAAACCTATTAAAAATGTTTGAATAATGAGGAAAAAAATGATGACGATGGAAAAGGATGGAGATGATGATGATGGGAGGCTGGATGACGATGACAACGACCCCAAACAAACACCCATTGAATATAAACGTCTTGTGTTCGAGATTCAACAGAAGCCTAAATTTGAATATTCGAATTGTTGTTTTTGAAAGAAAGACAACTGTCAGTCGGGTAAAATAGTTTTATTTACTAAACAAATTCAGATCTTTGTATTTCTGTTATGAATTTCAACTTGACATTCAAAAATCACAAATTCAAATAAAAAGTTTTTTCAAAGTAACCAGATGACTTGACAAGAAGATGGAACATGTGGTTTGATTCAAAAGCAAAGAGACTCACGCAATTACAGACTACATATCACAACTTGCTAATTCACTTCCTTACCAGATAGCACGTCAATTTAACGTTGGATAATTAACAACGAAAAACTTGTAAAATTTCTTTCTATTAAGATTTGTTTTCTTAAGATTTTGTTTGATTTCAGTATTTGCGGCTGTGTAGAAAATGCAGGCGTAATGAAAATTATTTGATTTATTGATGGGAATCATGTTGATGGATTGGAACCGCAGGTTTCACATATATTTATTGCCATTTTTCTTTCTCTGTTCAACTCTCACATTCAATCATTCGGTCGGTTCTCTAATTCGTTCGTTCGTTTACTCACTCGCTCGCTCACTCACTCACTCACTCACTCACTCACTCACTCACTCACTCACTCACTCACTCACTCACTCACTCACTCACTCACTCACTCACTCACAAATCTACAGACAATCGCAGAGACCTACGTATATAAACAATGAATAAGTAAGCGTTATAGAATGCACTCTTTATAGATGATTCAATGAATATATTTTTTACATTTTCAGTTGAAAAAAAATCGTAAGAGAATAAAACAGAATGGATGGAGGGACGAAAAAGTAATCTAGTGGACGAATAAAATATGGTTCAAATTTACAAACAAACAAATAAATAAATAATGAAAATGTCATGATAAATTAATTAACGAACTGACGCACAAACGAACAAACAAATAAACGAACGAACAAACGAACGAACGAACGAAAGAACAAACAAAAAATGGATGAAAGAAAACGAAAGAACGAATGAAAGAAAGATAGAAAAAATGAATGAATATTTATTTATTTTTTAATGCCCACGGGGTGATCACGTGATAGAATTGTCAACCGATCCAGAAGTGTAACAAATTTAGAAAGAAAGAAAGAGGGAAAGAGAGAGAGAAGGAAAAAACCATAGAAATGAGAAAAATTGATGTGTAATGACAGCTACGATGATAATGATGATGATGACGATGACAACAATGATGATAACGATGATGATAATAATGTTTGCTGGTGATAAAATTAACAGTGATGATGATGATGGTGAAAACGATGATGGGATCGCGGGACATAGATGGCAAAATTCTGGACTGTACCTCATTTCATGGGAAGCTTACTTCGCCCATTTCGTTATCTCTTGTAAATCATTTAACTAGCCCCGCCTATAAAATATGTTCTCTTTTCAACATATAAATAAATAAATAAATATATATATATATATATATATATATATATATATATATATATATATTTAAATAATTAATTAATTAAATTGATTAAATTAATATATTAGAGCCCCAAGCAGAGAAGATTTTTCCAAATCGCTCAATCTCATGTTTACAATTAGAAGATAGCAATACTAGAAAACAATTTATCAACAATATAACTGTAATCAGAAGAATTTCTAGGAAAAAAATTTAATAGATTTCCAATTTAATAATAATTGAAATAAATCGATAAACCTGGAAAAGATTATTGGTGTTTAGGTGAGTGACTAGATGCTTAAAGACTATGCGTGCAGCAACTTGAGACGAAGACACCAGGCTCGACACAGGCAGATAACTTAAAAGTTCATTTTTGTTTAAAGTACTTTTTTTTAGAGTAAGGCTTGCCACAGCGTTTTTGAAAGCTAATTGAAAAGGGCTGGAAGGAAGACACAGGTTGATGTAAAAAGGTTAAAAATGGCAGAAAAAGGTCAATATACTTCTTAATAGTCTGTGTAGGTAAACAGTCGAGGGAGCATGTTTTAGTAGGTGCGTCAAGTTTAACTTCTCTAATAAGATCACTAGAACAAGTTGAAAAGCTAGAAAATCATAAAATTTCACGTAAATTGCAAGCAGTAAGAAACGGTGCAGTTATAAAGATGATTGATTGAAGGTATTGCGAAATGGGTTGATTCAAGGATTGATGATGACATTTATGATAAAAAAAAGGTGATGGCGATATTAACGACGATAATCTTAATACAACTGATATGATGGAAAGTCTGATAGAAATTATATTTTAACAAAATAGAAAAATGCAGATAATGTTTAAAAATTAATTATGTCATGTTAACTTTTTTCACTTGAAATTATACGAAAATGTCTTGAACTGTTTGAAATATTTATCGGATAGTTCATATTTATCTTTTACTAGATTTTTTGTCTGCCGAGATTTTAAAACGCTTAAATGAGTTTTAAAAAAAATCTTTCTAGATTCTGAACTATATCGTCTCTTGAAAAATTCAAGATTATAAAGATGAAAGATTATTCTTTTTACTTGTTTTTAGTTTTGGCGTGTTGACAGCATTAACACTTTTATCACTACAATTAGTATCATAAGCTAGATCACTTCTATCAAAAGTTTTTAACAATAATTCAAAAAATTCAAAATTGTTTAATTCAGAAATTGCTTAAAATAATAACAGATGTTGGTTTTCTGTTTTTTTTTTTCAAATTAGTCCTCCTCTCTTAAAATCTTTTCCCTCGCATAGCATTGCGCTATTTATTTTCATCCAAATGTTGAACATTTCTAAAAAAAATTAACCAAGCCTAGCCACAAATACCTTTACTCAATTTCACTTACACACAAAACTATTTCTATTTTTTTATTCACTATCCAAATTTGTATGTATACAAAATGGAATACAAACAATTACGACATACAAAGTGCATACAAATCTTCTTTTTTCTCAAATTTTTGGTTAAAATTTGCTCATACAAAATGGAAAAACCCAAAACTAGCACAAGCAGAGCATAGTTTCTAAGAGCATGTACATGTACACGTTCACAATCCACATGAAAGAATGAACTATTGAACCAGAAACCATCACACAATACTAATAAATCATCGCTGACGATGTTGTTGAATTTTTCCAACTCTCGACAAAAAATAAAATTTGATTCCCATCACGTAGTTGTCTAAATGGTTCTTTCAATTAAATTCGCATCGCTTGCAACTTCGTTGTCAGCAACATTATTACACAGGTCGGGATATGTTCGTTCAAATTCGCTGTATTAATTTTCGTAATAGAGATATAATGTGCAAATAGTATGGATAAAGAAACAGATTGCATACTATATAGCATTAATTTCTAAAGTTTCAAGATGTTTTTTTAACCAATTTTATTCACTAGTTGAAACTCCGGCTAATTTCGAATTTTTAAGATTTTTTTGCAATAAAAATGAGGATTAAAAGGTGTATAAAATTAAAATATGTTGTATTTTTTTTCCAAAAAATAAAAAATTTTAATAAAATTCCCCAAGCATTTTTTGTGGAAGTAAACAAGTTAATTGTGATAAATGATATTTAGAAATCACCTATCACGCCACTCAAAATATTATTCCATAATTTATAACACGCAGTAAAAAAAACGTAAAATAAAAAAACAAAATTATATATAACAATATATAAATATATATTTTTTACTTATTGGTTTTTACGGGAAATATAAAATAATTAATTTATTGCTATTTTAAATTCTGCTATTATAATACTGTTGTGTGATCTAGCAAGTACCCTGTCCAACTCTTTTAAAACCGCGCGCCCAACTTCCCACTAAAAGTTAAAGGTCAATTACTAATCTCTGTGTGTATGTGTGTGTGTATCTGTGTGTGTATCTGTGTGTGTGTAGCCAAGTCACCTGAATAAACACAGGTAAAACAATATCATCAACAATCACAGTACCACCACAACATCAAAATTTAAAAAAATTGCACCAGAGACAAGAGACAATAGACAAGAGGCAAGAGTCAATAGACAAGAGGCAAGAGACAATATACAAGAGACTAAACATCCAGAACATAAAGAAGCCGATAAAGAAAAATAAGAGAAATTTCAAGATTGAAAATCAATTAGAATTTTTCAAAACATTCTCATCACGTGACATGCATAAAAACTTTTTATGCGCGGATTTCCAGTACCTCTGCGGGCTGGCATTCTCAAATGATGATTGTGTGGGCTTGCTTGTATTCAAATTTGTGTCTCTGTCTGTTCGTTTGTATGTATGTATGTATGTGTGTGTTTTTTTTATTTGCGTATCTATGAATATCTGCTATGTTTGTGTGTAAGTATATGTGTGTTTGTGTATGTGTAATTCTGTATGTTTGTATGTGCATATTATTTTTATGTGTGTTTGCTTAGGTTTGTATGGTTATGTATGTATGTACCTATCTTTGTATGTCTGTCTGTATGTATGTATATGTGTACATTTTTATGTATGTGTTTAAACGAATATATGCATATTAACATTGCGTGTTCTCTATTCTATGCAACTTTATGTATCAAACGAAGAAAAAAAATATAAATTTAAACAATTGATAATTTTCTACACTTTTCAAGGTTTGCATATACATGCCCAACTTTTATAACATGTTTGTAGCATAACTCATTCACATATATGTATGTATACATAAATCAGAGATGCCTTACTTAAGAAGTATTATACCTTCAGCAAGGTGTTTGTTTCACGTTATGAATTTTTTATTCAACGTTATGGTCTGTGTTTATTGACTTGGATAAGGTTGACAGCTCATTAGCGAACAATTATTTTCTTCCGTAGAACTATTTCTACGGTAATGAATAGTTAGAAATAAAAACAAAAGTTAATCGGTAGAACATTGCATTATTTCCATTTTTTTTAACAATCCCGATCGTATTTTCCAGGCAAAATTGGAACACAAACGACATTTAGCTAATGAGAATTTTGCTCTTGGTATTTGGTGGGAGTTTATTATCTAGGTGACACAAAACTATATCTGAATATTTCTAAAGACACACTCAGATATTTATTTACGTTGACAGTGTATTTTCTTCTTCTGGTTAGATTTGTCTGTAGTGATGTCACTGCAAGTCTATTTGATGATTTCAGTTATCATAGTGTGTGTGTGTGTGACACCATATATTTCGATTGAATTCAGCCAAACATACACTTGGAAAAAAATCTTTTTATTATTTTTCGAAAGTTTTTACAATAAACACACAGTATATGGGGATTGCACCAGAATCAACGCATGGCACACATTGCATGTGATAGTTCTGGAATCATTTGGCATTCGAACCAAGTTCCTGCGACTTCATTGCCAGGCATCTTAACCATTCTAAACATTCTAAACACACATTAAAATATTTATTCACGTTGGCAGTGTATTTTCCTCTAAATAAGTCTGTCTGAAGCTGGCTGAACCGAAATGTGAGCTGAACACACACACACACACACACACACACACACACACACACACACACATCTGCCGTTTTTATTAATTAATGTTTAATGAAGTCCTATTCTTCGTCCATTGCCATCTGATTGGTCAGCAATTAATCACTGAAATACAATTAGCAAGACCGTATGTGAATCTGAAAATGTAACGCGAGTGAAGTCGCCAAACTGTCCTTGAGCTGTTTGCTTCTTCTTCGAATTTTTCCATTCTGATTTTTGTGGCCCACATTCCTACTATTGCTATCTCTTTAGCTTTACACATTATTTAGTAGTTTGCGTATAAATAATTTGATATATGCGTGTTTTATTTATGAATATTTATCATAAATTTTTGTAAAATTTATAATATTTATCAAAAAATAAAAGCATCGATTTAACTGTGTGTTATATTATTATTATTACGTTAAACAAAGGCGAAGACGAAACGTCCCTGTGCCTTCTCAAAACTAAAACAATTTTAAAACAATAAATTAAATAAACCTATGAGTCTATACTGAATAAATAATTAATGTTTTTATGAGTCAAATAATGTATTAAACCTTGTAAAAAAATATAAAAAAAACAAATATAAATAAATTAATCACATATCCTAATCAATAAATTGACGATAATATCGGCCGATACTGATAAAAAATTCGAATCCCAATCTCACAAATAGCCAATGCCATATGAAAACCATAACGCCAAATTTTCGTGGCTTGAGGGCGAACTATTTTTAAATTAATTTAAAAAGAAAATTCTTAAGAAGATAGAATAAATGCTGAACGAAGAAATTAGAAAAGTTTTTATACTCATTTAACTTAGAGAATATATCTGTCTCCTCTTCTAGCTAATTAAATACCAGGTGTTCATTGGGGTGTGAGTAAAGAATTTTTAAAGTACATTTCCGAGATTTACAGTCAATACGTTCATTTGTTTCTCAAATTTAATTTAATTTAAAGTAGAAAATGTGAATTTTTTCGTCATCACCAAAGAACCAACAACACATTTTCAACAACAACCAACTGACTGCATAGACAAACAACAACCAACTGACTACAAAGACAAACAACAACCAACTGACTACAACAACCAGCCAGTAGCAACTAAAACTTGCCATTTAGGTTGCTAGCAACTACAGACAACAACAAACTGCCTAGGTACAACTCACCTGCAACAATGGCCCACGATGTCCAGTTGACAACAACAACAACAAAACTACCACGGCAAACGCTAAAACTACATCAAAAAAATGTCCAAAATCATTGAAAAATTTATTTTTTTTATTCTGAAATAAAAAACAAAGCAGTATTTATAGACTGCAAGCATCCAATGCAACAAACCAAAGTTTTATAAACTTTCACATCAGCTGACAAATTTTCGAAAAACACAAAATTTCAAAAAAATGTTAACCTTCTCAGAAAAAAACAAAAACACGAATAAACTCGACCGCCATCAGAGCTATCATGATTTAAGAGGCGGTAACACGAACACACTTCTGAATTTCAAAAAATTTCCACAAGACTTTCTGAAAAAAAAAAAACTTTACAAACAGAACGCTAACTTAAACGACCAAACAATATAACAAAATGACACAGTTTACAAAATAACTAGAAAAAAAATGAAAAAATTATCATAAAAACTTTCTTAAAAACAATCAAAATCGCCGTTAGCAAAAGAACAGCTCCGTGTTTCTACAGCATTTTCAAAATCATCTACAGAAACTGAGAAAACAAAACCAAAGAACGTGATCTAAACCGCACGAGATGGTAGAGTAGGCAAGATGAGAACAACTTAATCTCAATTGCACGACTTCCTTATAACTCCATGGGTGTAAATCTCGCTAATCACATGTTGTTCTTGTATGTATGTATGTGTGTGTATGTGAGAGAGAGAGAAAGAGGAAATAGAGAGAGAAAGAGAGAGAGGCGAGAGAGAGAGTATGTACATCTCTGTATTAGTGTAAATGTATTTGTGTGTAAATGCGTGTGCGTGATGTGTGTATCTACATATATCTGTATGTATGTGTCATTTGCTGCATGTGCGTTGTGGTGTGTGTGTGTTTGTTCATCTGATCACATGTGTTTTTGTATAATTTTATTAATTTTTTTCCATACATAAATACATACATACATACATACATACATACATACATACATACATACATACATACATACATACATACATACATACATACATACATACATACATACTTACGTACGTACATACATACATACATACATACATACATACATACATACATACATAAATTCATACATACATACATACATCTGCACGCTTTTACACATACATACACACACACACACTCTCTTCTGTATGTATGAAGTGTTCCAATGTTTCAATGTTTGCTTGTACCTGCGCGCTTAATTTGACTGTAAATTTGAGTTTATCGCACAGAGAGATACTTGATCCTGGCTGATGGAATTATGTTTGAAGTGTGCTGATGAACAAAAACATAAATCATCGTTTAGGGGAATTGTTCTTACTATTTAATTCTGATTGATTGAGATTCTGACTATTAAAAAGACTAATTAACTAATTAAATTTAATGACAACTTACTAGTTCATTAATTTCTAATCTATTCGATATTTAAAAATGTTTATTTTAAATGGATACAATAAATCAGGGGTGGGCAACTTACTTATATATGTATGACAAATATATATGTATGCATATATATCTAGTCAATATATATATACATATAAATTGACTAAATATATTGTTATAATAAATATTCAAGTTCCATCCTTTTAATTATTAAACTTTTAACATTATAAAACTTTTTTAAAAATTTTTGTGACGTGTAATATAGCGCGCGAAAAAAAATTTACTTTCAAAAAATTTAACAACTCCAGCCTCCAGATCCTTCCATTTCGCAGTTTTTGTTGCTTTCGCATCTGTCACTTTCCTCTCTCTCTCTCTGTCTCTCTTTTCTTTCTTTTCTTTTTATCTTTTTATTTACTTTACTTTTTTCGTTTTAAACTTCTTTTTATTTCTTCATCTCTTTCTCTCTCTCTCTCTCTCTCTCTCTCTCTCTCTCTCTTTCTTTTCTTTTCATTTACTTTACTTTTTTTGTTTTATACTTTTTATTTCTTTATCTCTCTCTCTCTCTCTCTCTCTCTCTCTCTCTTTCTCTCTCTCTCTTTCTTCTATTGTACTTTTGTCACATGCACTTATCAGAATAATCAAATGAAAATGAAAGAGAACTAATTGATATAGGTAAGCAAACAAAAAAATCTTTATATGGTTCCTATGTTCTGTAATAAGCCACTTAAATGCCTTGCAGAGTTAAGGCTCAAATGGCTTGATATCAAATTATTTTAGAAATAATTTTAGGAATTATTTCTAAATAATTGTAAATTGATTATGTATGATAAATTTTGAAAATTAATACTTGCATGGGTGAAAAGTTCGTTGAAATGTTTTCAGAAATAAAATTTGAGACAGTTTCCCATGTAAAAATAACTTTTCTTTTAACGTCTTTAAATTGACACAAAAATGAGAAAAAACTTCCAATTTTAAAGCTCTTCCTTCTCCCATCAGCAGTTAACAATAAACCAAACCATGAATCATTAATAATACAGTGTAACCAGAAGAGCCAAAATATATTACTTACATACATAAACACACACATACACACACACACATACATAAACATACACGTACGCATACACACATAAACACACACACACACACACACACACACACATACATACATACATACATACATACATACATACATACATACACATATAAACATTCACATACATACTTAAACATACACGTACACACATACATACATACATACATACACACATATAAACATTCACATACATACTCAAAGATACACGTACATATATATATACAAAAACATAGACGTACATTAGAGGGTTTCAAGATATGCTTCTCAACAAAGGAATATATAACCAAATGGGTGGATTTGAAAGATAGAATAGCTATGGGCTGTGCAATATCACCGACGCTTTTTGTACATGCTATGGAAATTCTGCTTGAAGCAGCTAGTAGTGCAAAATTCTCACTTGTCAAAAGAGTTTACATGTTCTCGCTGAACGCCTTCATAGATGACACCACGGTGCTGACAAATTCTGCGATTACCAACCACTAGACGTTAAAAAATCTAGATGGGTTGCTGTGTTGGAGCAAAATGAAGCTCAAACCGAAGAAAATAATGAAGTTTGTCACTGACTAGAGGAAAACAATTTTTGATAAACTAATCCAGTAAATAGTTTGGGCAAATGGTATCATGCCAGTCTGAGAGACGTTGATGAAATAGGAAAATTAGCAAATACATGCTCAAAATACTTAGAAACTGTCAGCAAAGGGGAACTTCAAGGCAAATTCAAGGTATGGCTGATTCATTTTGTGATGGTACCAAAGTTTCTATGGCTTCTAACAGTTTATGGAGTCAACTTACCCATAGTAGAGAGCCTTGAAGAAAAACCAACCGGTACAAACGTAAAAAATGAACTTTGTAACTGAAGAAGTATTTTTGATAACGGC